ATATTAAAATATTTATTATTGGAGAAAAAAATGTCAAGCCCCCAAAAGAAAAAATCTCAATGAGGTGTTAAAGAGATCAGTATGGAGGATATATTGTGGGAAGTCATCTAACTAGACAATGATTTGTCGTATTTGAGAAGAGAAAAACCGATGAGACCACTCATAGTCATAGCAATGAATTGCTAGATTAGGATGAGGAAGCGAATCTCTTTCACCAAAATTATTTTTGTGATAAAGAGCCGATGTTGCATTGATTCGACATAGAATATCAAAGGAGCCAAGATATTGGATTAAATGTGGACTTACTAGATTTTCTTATATGTATGGATCTAAATGACTTTATCGAGTGCTCCAAATAATGGAATGAATTTTTGAGTATAAATATGTTCCTTAGAATAAAAGAGTTAAATTGTTAGCCATCAAGCTTCGAAAGAATGTTTTCTTTTGGTGAGAAAATTTGAAACACTTAGCCGGTATAAGGGAAAAAATAAAATCAATACATAGTTTAAGATGAAAAGAGAGATGTAACAAACGTACCAATTAACGTGTTTTTGAGATGTCAACAATTACAATAGCAAGATCTCTCAATAAATCAGTATATATATTGTAGAATTTGAGTTGTTTATGCTGAAGTGTGAGCTATATAGTTGAGCCCGAAGAAAAAATCATAGCTAGATCTTTAGGGGATTGAAATTGTTCATTGGCTATATGGTACAATTACAATCTTATTAAAATGTTACATTATGTACAGTCTTTACTCTGAATGTGGTGAGACAACATAATAATATCAGGTCTACTCCACCAGTCAACTAAGGTTTAATCATCATATCAGATAACAAGGTACACTCAAGGGAGCATTTTAGACCCATATGACAAAAAACTAATTCATAACGAAGAAAAAGAAGATTCGGCCGACACTCTCAAATCCATCCCAATTAGAAAGTGCTTCAAACTCCATATTTTTGGGCATATTGCATCAAATTACCCAAACAAAAGAATAATCTCTTTTGTTAAGCTGAGTTTAATTGAAGAAAGGATAATATCACAAAAGAGGATGAAGAAGTCGGAGAGGAATATCAACATTATGTTGAAGAAAGGGAGATGCTAGTGATTCAATGTGAACCTATGAGAGAGACTTCAATGAGATTAACAAAGGTTGTATGTCCTAAATTACAGTGAGAGCTAACATGAGACAGATGTCATTCCCTTCTAAATGGATTTCAAGATTGTATGATTTACAACCTACCTCTTAATTTGTCACTTCCAAGGAAGGTCTAATATGTCCTCACATCAAATAAAAATGAGAAAATTTTGAGTAATTTTAAGAACTCTTTAAAATCATGTGAAAGCTAAATTATAGTTTAGTTCAGCAATACCATCCAAACAGATACCAGATAGGAGTGGTGAGACTCTACTCTGAAAATCTCGACAGGTATTTTAAGAAGAAATATATCAGACAGTGGGACCTAGGTCCTTCCAGAGAAGAAGAAGAATAATAATAATAATAATAAACCTCTCCTAGTTGTGGAGAATGATGCGGGAGTTAGGCTTTTCCCAAGACGTGGAATTTTTGTAACTTTGCAATACATGAAAATGGGATACGAATGTTCATGATTCTGTGGCATGTGCATCTCGCAATCGCCGGAGTTAGCAGCTGGGCTTAAGAAATCTTATTTATTTATTTATTTATTTTTTTGCAACAAGCTTTCAGTTTTTTTTTTCTTCATCTTCTAGTTATTTCCTATTCCTTTATTTTATAATTAGGTTATTTGCTACTAGAGCACTTTTATTATGTTATTATTTTTTTTGGTTTGGAGAATTTGGCAATTATTATGTTTAAAGATATTTTTCTCTATATTATGCTCTTTGTATATTTTTTTCTTTTCTAAGTAGTGTGTCAGTATCTTGCTTAGAAGCAAGTGGCAGATCCTCCTTGACCTTCATACCTCATCGTTTCATTGTCTACCTCACTGCTTTCTGTCGGGACAACCACTGATCAACATCAAATCTGTTGTACAACATCAAATAGCGCATCATACCCTTCCAAACATCGTCATCCACCAATATTCCATGTTCCTTGCTATTCCACAACTACCTCCCACAAAACCCACTTTCTAAACACCTTACAAAAGCCCTATAATGGTATCATTGATTTCACAAATTTTTTTTTTTATAGGAAACAAGCTACAGAATTAGGTTTGATGTGATGTCGTACCTATGGATGCGTGTCACACACTTCAGGGCAGATCATAGTTTCAAATTGACCTAAAATCACATACTCACTTATCAAGGATGGAAAAAGACTGAAAATTCTAGCTTAGAGGTTGTTCATGATCGGCTCATTTGAAATTTCTGTTTGAAATGATGAACTCATGTTCAAAAGGGCTCTTTACTAATCTATTCATGTTCAATTGGATTGGATTCGAGTCGATCACATTTTGGTTCTCCTCAAACTAACTCAAGCTTTCAGTTATTTTATATTTTTCAGCTTAGTCGACTTTGGTTTGCTTTTAAAGAGCACATTTATTCTTCTAAATATTAAATACAAGACTTAGGACTAAAATTTGGGTAGGCATCAAGTGGGGTAGGGCAAAGACCATATTGATTAAATTTTAGCCAGCAATTACATAAATAGCCTGCAATTCTCGAGTATTTACATATCTAACACCTACATATGGGGGCATCGCCGGAGCATTTACATACATACTAACTAAATCCTATGTATTTACATATTTAATAGCTAAAATAATATTTTTTATAGTTATATCACCTAAATTATTTCTTAAAAAAAAACTAATTTTATTATTTTTAAAAGAATAAAAAAATTAATATAAATAAATATTATTTTTAATAATTTAATTATTTCATGCCAAACAAACCTTCATTCCTGTTCTACTAGTTTATAAATTGAGCTCAAAAAGCTGTTTGTGTTCAGTCTGTTGGCTCAACAAACGAAACAAACATGAGCAACCTAACAAGCCTAATACAAATTATTTGTGAACCACAAGCTTTTGTGACAGCCCTATCACTGAAAGAATTTTGCTAATTTGCGTCGGCCAAATCAGACGCAAATCGAGCGTAAATCCGACGATATTTGAGGATTATCGTCGGATTTACGTCCACTTTTCTTCGAAGGTAATTTATGGATCAATAATGTTAATTCCGTCACTTTTGTGTTGAAATATTCCGACGCAAATTATCAGCGTCGATTTTTGCATTGTCATAGCGTCAGACTTGTTTGGTTTACACGTGTGTCGAATTTTGCTTTTGAAAATATCAGATCATAAATAATATGATCTGATTACTGTCGGATTTCCGTCGAACCTATTTGGATGGATAACGCGTCAAATTATTTGATGAAATTTTAATGAAAAACTCACAGATAGAAAAAAAAATTCAAAGAAACAATTACATTTTCATAATCTGCACATAACATTCACTCTACATTAAAGCAACATTATATCCAGCTATATCACAGATCAAATACTGAAAAATGAGATACTGTCACAAATTTAAATTAACAAAATTTTATATCTACACAATGATCAATATAAGTTCAGACATTTCATGAATTAAAAATATCGTAGACATTTCATGAATTAAAAATATCGTAGGACAGTCTAGGATGTAGTAATGTTTGACCTATCGAATTTTGACAGTCACATTGATCCAAATGCGTTCTTCCAAGTGGTCTTAAACAACGAAAAATGGCCTTTGAGTATAGGAACAAATAAAATCATTGTTTGGTTCAACAAAAAAGGAAAATGCACGTGCAAGTACTTACCAACACATTACAGTCATGACATATTCTTGAGCTACTCCTAAATGATCGAGCCACTAAAATGCAGATAAATAGTTCGATATAAAATGTGTGTACATATATATACATGATAATGATATTTTAGTTTCCGAGTTAGCCCTTCTATTTCTTTCTAAAATTGAATTAGAAATCAAATTTGAAATAAGGTATAAAGATGTAAGTTCAAATTGACACAAGCTCAGCCCAAAAGGCAAATAGACATGTTTATAGGGTATAATAAGGGATCACTTATTTATGGGGGGATAATGTCTTCAGTCATTAAGATTCTTGAGACATTCTTCAAATTAACTATTTATGTGTATTATAATCAATATGTTTATATATTTACAGAAGTTATATCATGCATTCATTACTTGGAACAAAACATAGCCCCTTGCCAAAATAATAAAATCTCTTGCTCTTTCTCCCTTTCTTTTGAACTGTACAAATAATGAAATGTTACATAAATAAATATTTAATTTATGCATTTCAATGGTACGTAAAGGGGTGTAAATGAGCCGAACACGAGCGAGCCCAAACTTAGCTCCTGTTCGGCTCGTTTATATTTAGAGCTCAAAAAGAGTGTTCGTGTTTAACTTGTTTGCTTAGCGAGCCGAACACGAGCCGTTCACGAATAAAGTCTCATTTTGACAACCCTAATCTTGTAACCATAAGATGTTAAGTATTGGGGGAAGATTTAAAAATTATTGTTTATAATAAAACAACATTTGAATCTAATTTAATAATTTTAATTCCATTTTCTTAATTCATTATAAATCTTTGTAGCCTTGTAGTCAATTAATTTTTTTTAAAATACTAATCAAATATATATATATATACATAACATACTACTCATCAAAAATATATATATAATTGATTAGTATTATTTTGAATCAAAACGAGCCGAACACGAATGAACAAACATTTGTTTGTGTTGTTCGTGTTTGGCTCGTTAACTTAGCAAATGAGCCGAAGACGAGCTTCTTAACTGGCCGAACACGAGCCGTTCACGAACAACGAGTCAAAACTATCAAATTGTGTTTTATTAATCTACAATAAATGATTTTAAGAACATGTATTGCTTGAAATATTATTCCATCGAGAAATCGGAACTAATTTTCCATCTCCATCAAAAAGATCAATATATACCAATTTGTTTGTTTGTTAATTAGTGTTAAATAGAGAAAAATAATGTCGTTTCTCTCTCCCTCTCTCTCTCTCTCCGAATTCGAGAGCGGAGCGGCGCTGCGAGAACTCCAGTGTCGGAATCTTTCGCGACGGCGTCTCCATTTCGTTGGGCGCTCCGGCATGTGTTCCGGCGAGTTGGATTTCTCGGAGCTCGTGGAACCCTAGAAGGAAGCTATACCAGGTTGGAAACCAGTGGGAGAGAGCTATATGAATCAGAAGGATTTAGCAAAAAACCTAAATGAGCTCTTCTCTGCAGTGATTGATGTGTACTTTTAAGAACCCGCCCGTTATCTTCTTAATTCTTACACTCGTCTTCGATGCTATTATCAGCAGCGCAAGTGTCAGAATCCCCTGCTCTAAGGACAAGTGGATGGCAAAGCTGAATCAGACAGCAGTTCCATGGTAGAACACATGAGCTCTTTGCATCCCAGGTTAATTCATACAGGTAATTTCAATAAACCACTTCTTGCATAAATAAGGAAAGAAAAGCATTAATTACTTCTTGCATAACCTTTACCATGTTCCAAACTAGTTATCCTCTTTTTAATTTGGCGATTTGTGAAACTAGAATTCTGGATTCAGTGTAACATATGGTATTTCTTTAACAATATGACAGCCTAGGCAAAGGCGTCAAACTCTCTTCTTCTATCAACCACCGATACAAAAAGAATATTACATATTTCCCCTTTCCCATTTCAACAGTTCGATTGGGTAGGCTGAACACTCGAAACAATCTGGAAAAATAGTGGAAAGAATTAATTGCAACTTCTAACCTGTACAAATTGCAGGTACATAATGATTTGTGAAGTCTCTCAATTTAGTGTTGTTAGGGGAACTCGAGAGTCTCTCAAGGCCTGCGAATGAGACTCAAATGCTGTAGATAGATGTTTCACATCCCCGTTTATTTGCTTAGCTGCAGACTTTGATTCCCAGAACCCTTTGAGAAGCTCCTCAAATGGAGGTGTTCTCAGCTCTTCAATGGATGCTACACTAGGGAAATTGATTGATCTCCTTTTTGGTGTTGAACAAGAAGGCTCATCCACCTGGCCAAGTAATTGGGATTCATAAATATTGAATTTTTACTATGTTGTTATTGTCACCTATTAATGGATTCATTTATGCAATTATACATATAATAACAATATTTACCATGTACTCCTCTTCCAAGCATTTCCCAGCACTGTTTGTGATCTCAACGATCTTGTGATAGTGCCCGCTCCTCAAGTTCCTTAGATTCCCACGAGAAGGCACGATGATGGAGTCAATGTTCGCGCATGCATCATGGTCAAGTTTCAATGAACCTGTCGTGTAGTAAGATAAGATTGATTTGCAACTTTGAAGGAACTTTGTTTTTTAGCAAATTTCTTCAGATAGTGAGGAGATAAATGATAAAACTCACTGTTTATGGACGAATGAAGACCGTTGTTTGCGTTGTGAACATCCCCAAGCGCGTTTGCAGCAGCAGACGACAGTTTAGCTCGCAATAGCTGATTTGCCTCCATTCCATTCCTATTGCAAGCAAGTTTAAAGCTTTAGAATATTAATCTAAACAACGCATCATTGAACTAAGAACTAAGTGATATAAAATTACCAAACAATGGACTCCACTGATGCAACATTTCCTTTCCATAAGGTCAGCAGAGAATCCTGAGCATCTTTCCACTGTTTTGAACCCATTTTGGCCTTCTCCAGGCTGCGTGTTTTGGTGAAAGTTAGTAGTTTTTAGGATGTGATTAGTTTCTCGAATGATACGAAAGTTGGATTATGGAACTGGCATGGCTAACATACCAATCTTTCAGACCTTCTTCCAAGCAGAATCTTCCACTTTCTACTGTTGTAGTATCCTGATGATAATTCTTTTCCGTTTCTTCCATGTAAACCATCCATTTTTCTTTGACAGATGAGGTGAAATCTTGAGCATTGGACATTTCCTTTTGTAGATTACTTGTTCTATCCGCTGCGCTTGCTCTGAGAGTGTCCACTGCCGTTTGAACCTAAAATAAATGAAAACAATGATGAGTTAAGCAACAGCAGCCACAAAGATTTCATCCATTAATTGATTACCAAACAAAAAGATTGAAATTAATGCAAGCATGTAGGCTGCTGATAATATGCGGTATGAGCTAAACTAATTGCTGAATGGCATGTGGAACTTATGAAAGATTGGATTAAAAGATAATAGATCTCTAATGAAAATTTAACAGAGTTCATGAACTAGTGTAATGCAGAGGGGGCTTATCAAATATCAAAATCTGTGAGGTATCTGTAATATAAGGTGACATTAAATGATCTTACCTGGAGAAATTATCCATATTTAAAAAGTTTATCGATGGGAATGTGAGAGAACTCATGCATCAAAATTTATGAACCAGCATTTTATAGGTGGTTAGAACAACATGAAGCATCATTCTTAGGCCCTGCTAGCACAGTTACGAACATAGCACATAATTCTTATGTATTTAAATATCTCACACCTAAACTTTCATATTTACACAAATAACACTCATATCTTTAATATCAAATAAAAATAGCACTATCAGCACTTTTTAGAATTGAAATACACATTTTCATGCATAGGTTTAAAGCACCAAAGTGCTATGTATACAAAATATGAAAGTTCAAGGGGTGTTTGACTGCACATAGGTTTGACATTGAATCCTATCTAGTAAATCCAGTAAATCCAGATTCATCAAATATATATGCTGTAAATCCAGAGTAGTGGATTTTGTCGAGATATGCTGCCAGCTTTCTTTTTAGAAGCATGACTGTGATATCAATGCTTAAATTCTATATTTCTTGCAATTTTTTTCTCATGTAACTTTAAGATTTTGGTGATTTTTAGATATCTTGTGGAATGAATAAAATGTGTAACATAAAAGCTAGCAACCTATAAATTGTGAGTTTTTTGTACTTTTACCTTACATAGTTGCATAACATCTTAATTTAAATGAAAAACTCTAGACCATTGACCTTACTGCATTAGCTTCTCTCACAAAGATGGACAAACTACGCTGCAAATTTCCCCTATGGCCTTCAAGCCATGAATGCTTTTTCTCATATTCACCCCGCAAAAACAAAAAATGCCACATTGTCAACTACTTGAAAATTAAAGCAACTAAAAGAGCATTACCAAACAAAGCTTAAGATTTCCAAAAGTTCAAGAAAAGGCATGCCCAGAAAGAACCAAACAAATATTCCATGAAAATACATAACATTTAACTTACCAAACTTATTTTCCTGGCACTCGAACTTGCCAGCATCTCTGCCACCTTCGCTAGCAATTGCTTTTCTTCATTCGCAGCACATTCCTGCATGTGGTAGAAAGTAATAAAGCTTTAAGAACTTTATAATATCAAATATGCTAATGTGTTTTTAATCAATTTTTATTTTTTATTTCTAAAAACAAATAAGCATATTTTTTAAATCACTCAAAATAACTTTTAATTATTTTGAGTGTTTTAAAAAACAACCATATCTTACTCAAACACACCAAACATGTTTCATTTCAAATCAAAATATAAATAAAACAAAGAAAATACAAAAAATAGAAAACAAAAAGCAAAAGTGATCACAAATTGCCCTAAACATTCAACCATTACAGAAAAATCACCTCAAACTTCTTCTCTAGCTCGCTGAGTTGCAGGTATTGTGAGGTCTGAGTTTCTTCCAAAATTTTGCTTAACTTCGATACATGAATATCGAGAGTGTCGAAAAAATTAATGGTAGTATTTGAGATAGAACGTGTTGCCTCCACAGTTCTTAAATGTCCCTGGTTTAGTATCAAATACAAAATTACAAGTTAAGGACAAGAAAAACCATAAAAATTAAATAAAAAAAAAATCAGAAAAACTTTTGACTGTGATAGTCATCAACCTCGCGTTGCTGCCGAGCAAAAGCATTTAATTTATCCTCTTGGTTAAAGAGGGTTCTTTGAAGCTCACCAAGCAAGTTATCAGCCTCTGAGGCAAAACCTTTAAAGCACTATCAAAAGAGATTTAATCAAATCCTTGGTAGCCACGTCTTAAACTTGCATGGTGCAGAAGAGTAGAAACTAAAACTCACATCCTCGAGAGCAGAAGAATGTGTCAGCACTTGTGATTTCAAATTCCCAAAAGTTGATTGAGAATTTTCATCTAATTCTCCAGCTAAATCATCCAAAACTTTGATCCCAGATCCAAACATGGCTTTCAATTTTTCAACCAGTTCTCTGAGTTCATCGGTAGCCTGTGAATTTGTTAAGTGTGAAAATAAAATAAGCGTTTAGGATGATTAAATTCATGCAATAAGTTAAGAATTTGTAGCTGATTTATCATTTGTTAATGTACCGTAATCTTTGCAGAAACGAATGATTGCATATCCTCTTCCATTTCTTTCAGTTGGTTCTCCTGTTGTGTAACAGAAGAAGAGACGGTCTTGTGTAAAACATCCAACTGTTGAGTCAACTGAGACTGAAACTGCTGCACAAGAATTCTATTCCCTTCTTCTATCTTATCTTTGCGCTCTGAAATTTTATCAAATGTGAAGCTGTTATTGCAAATCATGCATCTCATCTGGCATTTTGAAAGAGCAAAAAACAATAACAACTGTTTCAATCGGCAAAAACAGCAGAGTTACCAACCAATTTTAGAGAACAATCCCGAAATATCAGCAGCTGCATTCTCTAGCTCTGAATGAAGGCCGTGTGCACGCTCGACAAGTGATTTCTCTGAAAGAAAATAAACAGATCATATTTGGAGCTTGGGAGAAGCATGGGGTGAAATGTTAGAAATTTTTAATCTTATAAAATAGATTGTTGAAACGAGTTAAAATTGGAATTATTTGGCTAAGCTAAGCTTAATGTATGATTAGCTGTAGAAGTTCTAGGAAAGTCCAGAAATAGATTCGCACTTATAAGGAAACTTGTGATGGACAATGGAGGTTATAAAGGTCATTAAATTGAGTTATAACAAAAATGTTATTTTAAAAGAGCATAATGAATAGTATAATGAGGTATATTTGATGCAGTGCACTAAACGATATTAGAGTAAGTATGACTTATGCTAAGGCTGAAATATTGTCGAAAGAAAAACATTACAATTGTTGTCTATATAAATCTTATGATTACAGTGAATCATATTACAAACTGTGTCAGTCATTCTAAGCATTGCAAACTCATAGATATTATAATATTTCAAGACATTAATACCGATGCATCTAATTGATAAATATGATCAAGTGTCATAAGAAGTATATGGATGTCATGAATACAAACCTTAAAATGGTCATGCATATAATTGTATTAATCATTCCAATCTAAAACCATCTTATCATAATGAGAGAATATATTATATGCCAATTTCACAAAATTCAATGGTTTTTGTACAACATCAAAAAGTTAGCAAAATTTGTCAAATAAACTATTTCAAAAACCTAATCACTGGTTCAAAAACCTAATTCTTGTGTTGAGTAGGTCTATATGGATTATTATTAGGATGTTTTTGGTTTTACAAATGAAGTTGATGATGATCAATTATCAGTGATTGATGATGCGTTTTACTAAGCCTAGACTTAGGGTTAGGGGTGCAAACGAGTAGAGCTCGAGCCATCCTTGGCTAGAGCTTGAGATTGATAACTAATTGACTTCGAGTTCAAGCTTGATTTTTAAATCTACAAAGTTCGAGCCGGCTTGCAAGCCAATTAGTTTATTATAAAAGGAGAAAATAATATTAATTTGTACTAGTTTTATAATAAAATCACATAGAATGAGAAATTAGGGGAAAAAATTAGAAATCACTTATTATAAAATACATATTTTTTTTTAATTTTTAAACTTTTAAAAATAAATCCTGAAATTTAATATATTTAAAATATATTTTACATTAATAATTGTTTTTAAATGAGTCGGCTCAAGAGTTAACGAGTCAAGTCAGGGCTCGCTTGAGTTTGGTTTTTTAGTTCATTGAGCTTAGCTAACGAACCGCTCATAAAGTCGAGCCCAAGCCGGCTCACAATTCGACTTGGCTCACTTAAATGCCTACTTGTGGTTGTATTTGAGATAATTCTTGTGCCTAAATTAGAAATAATGCTTGTCAATGACTAAGGATGAGATATCTCCTCTTCTTGCTTTATTGAGAAGAAGAAATAGATTAATTACGTAGGTTGATCCACATTTCACAATTGATAACTACTTCCTCACCAAAATCACTGATCGTGTTTGAGTTACTAGTTTTGCAACTATCATGTGATTGAAGAAACTTCTATGATTTTATTTCAAAAATGATGTATGATCCATAGAGGCATCCAAATATGAAGCTTATAGATTCTAATATTTATGTTTAGATTTCATGCACATGCTAGTATGAGAGAAGTGGATAATATAAAATGATATCATTGAGAATAAAAAGGAATTTTATAAAGCTGTAATTAGGTCTGCTTTATTCCTATGTAATACTAGTTCGAAATGTATGGAAGTAAAACATGTCATCAATGATGGTTAATATGAGTGTGATAAAATGAGAATGGTCAGATGAATGTTGCAAAACTGAAAAAAAAAAACAAATTAAGGAAATAATTATATTAGAAGAGTGGTTCAAGTGATATCTCTTAAAAATAAGATATTAAACATAAACAATGCTTCAATGTGGACAATAAAAGTGTTAGAAACGCATCATTAATCGAGTAGATACAATTACCATCAAAGGATTAGGTAATGCATTACTACACTGAAAAAAAAAAACAGTTAAATAACAAATATAATAGTAAAGAAAGCAGTTTGAGAAATAGGAAAAGCTACATTATTATGAAATTTTATAAACCTGATTGGAGGAGATTTGCTATCAAATATTCCTTCTCTCTTATAGTGCACTTTGCCTGTCGGTATCTTTCTTCTAGATCAAGGAGTTGGTTTTCAGTGTCCTCCAATTTTTTCTGAATCCACAGCGGAGAAAAAAAATGAATTTTCATTATTACCCGATGCTGGATACGGATGCAAATATTGGAGTTAGCCATACCTGGGTCTTGTCAAGTTTTTCACTCAACTCTGCACTCAAGTTTTGTTGAGAATTGTAAAGTTCTTGAAGCCCACCTAATTGCTGGTCATAGGATCACATCAAATAGTTAGAATAGCTCCAAATTTTAATTTAAAAGGGGGAAAAAAGGCACGGAACTAAGGGAAGGTACCTTATCTTTTGATTCCGATTCAATTTCCATGCGCTCAATTTTTTCAGCCATAGCCTTAAATAAACAGACACATGGTTACTAAAATGAATTTCATAATGCATTTGTGCAGAACAGTTATATTATGTGCTAACCTTTTTCTCTGCTTCTTCTTGTAGAAAACGATCTCTAGGAATATAAATGCCATTTTTCTCCCTGGCAGCATATACCTCTGCAAATGAAGAAAAAGGTGTCATAAAAACCAACTTAGCTAACGGCAATCGACTTCAACACAGCGACAAAACTTAAATCAGAAAAAAACTGCACTCTTTCTGGCATAACAATGAATGTAGACGCGCCATTATAATTTTTTTCTCTTTAATCAGTAAGCAGAAGTTGAAAAGATGCTATCTTTGAAAGCATAAATAAGTCCAAGTTTGGAGAGGGAGAGTGAGAGATAGAGGAATTTAATCAGCACAAGCCTTGTTTAAGACGATCAATCTCAGAGTATAGATCCTTGATCATAGCAGATTTCATCATCTTTTGATTAATCTGCAAAAAGGGAAATATTTTGAAGTTTAGAACATCATTATCTAGAGAAAATTCACATACATTATCAAATCACCACTTGAGATGAGTTAGATGACCTCTGGCTTGTTTTTTATGTTTTTAGCGCGGTGAGCATAATCTAAGGTGCTCAGTGTCTCTTCCAAACAGTAAATTGAAGGTGATATGGTGGCAATGATGCAGGTCTTCGTTTTCCCACCCAAGGAATCCCTCAACAACCTTGTAAGCTTGCTATCTCTAGTAGAAGAAGCCAAAAAAAATAATAATAAGTTCAACAAATTTCCATAATTCAATGGAGAAAAAGGAGGAAAAAAAAGGTTTTAGTCACCTGTATGGAATGTGGCCAGAGTGCTCAACTAGTGTATTAATAACGCGCCCCAGCGTAAGAAGACTTTTGTTTATCTCTCCAGCTTCTCTTGCCCTGCCCTGCAATGATATGAACTCATCACAATCCAAAATATTCATCCGCTTCAACTTAGAAATCACTCTATTGCATTCTAACTACATTTCCATGCATCATTTATGCAAAAAACTTTATATTATATAAAAAGGTCGTGTCTTTCCTGTAAAGTAAGAGAGAAATTATTACTTACATCCCTAGCACCTGATCTTGAAATATTCTCTGAACCAGCTAAATCCACAAGGTTAAGCTTCCCAATTTTGATCATTTCTTCCCCCTCTGGAGTAACCTCCTTGATGTGAATTGTAATGGAAAATATGGAGTGAGAACGACTGCTTTGTTTGTTCAGTAGAGTCTCAGCAGTACGCCTCTTCGCAGAACCTTTCTCCAATATCTTGTATATTTCACTGGCCGTGCGAACCACCTCCTCCTCCAGCCCTCTAACAAAGACGCCTCCTTTACCATCTTCCATTAGAGCTATAGGTTTCTTTGATTTGTCATCTGGGACCTTCGACTCATCTGGAGCTAAAAGATCTGTGATTTCCTCGTTGTACAGCTCTAAAAAGGTAACTTTCATGCTGTATTCTGCACATTGTGCTTCCAGCGTTTCAAAGATTTGGCGAACAGACCTTGGGATCACACCCGCATCACTTGGGAACTCTCCATTCTAGAATACATCACAACACATAGAGTGAATCCAAAAAAACTTTCAATATAATTTATAGAATCAATGAGTAGACTGAAAAAAATATCAAAAATCACCTTCGCCTTCTTCCCTCCACCTTCCATTGTGTATGTCTTGCCGGTGCCCGTCTGCCCATAGGCAAAAATGGTGCAGTTGTATCCCTCAAGAACCTCATTCACGATTGGAGAGATAGAATGATTGAACAAATCCTTCTGTTGGGAAGTTGGGCCAAAAACCTACACAGAAACGTATTCAACTCACAAGTTCATAAGAAATAAAATTTCACAGCTTTATCTGATACCTTGTCAAACACAAAAGTTCTATCGATCTGCTTATTCGCAATATTCTGCATTGCAGATACTTCCCTCCGCGACTCATTGCAAGATATGACCACAGGCGTCCGCAACCTTGCCTCTTCGTCACTCAGAGGTCTATCAAAATTCGAATTATTAACAGCATTAGTTCAAAATTTAAATCAATTTCTTCGCAAGATCAGTGCTAGAAAATCCCAGTTACCTGCATCGGAGGATGACCTGAACGTTGACGCCCTTATCCTTATCATTCTTACTGTTTAAATGGCCGCCTCCATCGCCAGATCGGAGATCTCTTCCAAATTTCTCGTTCGATCTAGGAGTATTGCAAGGAGAGGCCGGCGTCCCATTTCCTTTCCTCTGCGAGCCATCCATCTCCCCTAAACCCGTATAACTCACGAAAACAATTCAAGAGACCTGCAAACCCTAGAGCCCAAATAACATCAGAAAAAACCCCAAACTTCTAACAAGATCCATGAACAACCGCACGAAACCAACAAAAATGACAAAATAAAAAGACAAAAAACGAAAAATGCGTGGCCCGCGCAGAGAAAAACAGATCCTTTTCCAGTGAATAAACAACAAAATCTTTTAAAATTCGAGGAAGACCGGAGCCGGCTGACGGGAAATGAAGGAATGACGAAGAAAACACGGCGTGGACGAAGTAAGTGTAAAATGCCAGATGGAAGAGAGGCAGAAACAGCAAATAAGACCTGCTCCGGCGGATCGGCGGCGACGATTTATGCTACCGTCGGCGAAGTTTTGAGCAGAGGGATCACAGCACCCTTCTCCTTCGATTTAGGATCACAGCACCCTTCTCCTTCGATCAGTTTGTCTCTACAGGTCCGGTGGTCCTCATTTGAGCTCTGCTGATTCTATTAATTACGATAATTAAATGATAATAAGGCAGTGATTTGGCCACTGTTATTAATTTATTATTTATTATTCTTATTTTTGAAAAAAATTAATGAAAATAAGTTGGTATTAAATGATAATAGAGCAGCGATTCATCATTTTACTAATTTTTTATTTTTTAAAAGGAAAATTAATGAAAATATATTCGTACTATCTGATTGCGATATTTTAAAGTTTTATTTTACTTTATTATTTTATTTTAAATATATAATAAATAATTAATATTAAATTATTAAAATAATGAGATCAATTTTTTTTACATTGAATTATGTGAGATCAATAATGAAAATAAAATTTAGTATATTTCTTCTAAACATAAGATTAATTCATCATAAATGACCTCATGCTAAAAAAATTAATTAACTCTTTTAATAAATTAATAATTTAATTATTTTTTCTGCTCTAATAGTTATTATTATTATTTTATTTATTTTTATTTTTAATTTTTTTATTTTTTTAAATAAAATAGTTAAATTCATCTAAGAGTTATAATTAGTAAATCTAAATTTACTTTTGTTTTGTTGAAACAAAGAGAAAATAAGATTAGTCGAGTTTTGTTGGATTTAAATTTAAATTTAAATACTATTAAATCCTATTAAGATGAACCTACCAAGTAGGCTGCGATCCGACAGAACAAACAGTGACGGCGTTGACACCGTTTACAGCCGTCTCCGACCGTTAAAAACGGCTCATTCTCTGGCCGAAGAGCCGCCGCTTTCCTTCCGCTTTTGTTAAATTTTAAAAGTAACGGCTACTATTACGGGCTTACGTTTCACCCAAAAGGCACCGCATCGTGGGTCCCAGCCGAGCATGTGGAGTTCGGCAGCTTGTCAGCTGTTGGGTGGAAATTTTGGTTCATTTTTTATAGCAATTTTTCTTTTGCTTTTATTTTATTTGCTTTTATTTTATTTTAAATTAAGAGCCGGCTCAATTTGAATAAATGCCACAAAATTCTCATTTATTTATATATCTAAATCTAATAACTAAATTTTATTTATTGATATGCATATCATTCAATTTTCTTAACATCACATTAAATAAATCATTATTACTAATATTTTAAAAATGAAATGGTGTAAATAAATAAGAATTGTGTGGTACATATGTAAATTTTCCTTAATAATAATAATAATAATAATAAAAGCCAAAAATAATTCATTTTATTCCAAGAATAAAATGGGAAAATAAGAACCTCAAGAAATATAAAATTTGAATATATATGGTTGATGGATCGAGTCTTTGCCAAATTTGGGTGATGAAAAATGAAAAAAATTAAATAAATAATATATTATCCATGTATTAAAAAAAGCAAAATTGCAAGCCCTTGGATGAATAACAAAACCTATCTCCTGACTTTCTTTGTGTGTTTGTGTGTGTTTGTTTTTCCTCCTATTTTAAATTCTATTTTAATATAAAAAAATATATATAGAGTACTTATATAGTTATATTTGTGTCATTTGTAGTGTTAATCTCTAATTTTAATCTAGTTCATGCTCAGCTCTAAATTTTTTTAATTTTTTGAAATGTTTAGCTTGACTTAGCTATAAACTATCTCAACTTGATTATGATTGGTGTCAAACTAATAATTTAATTTTAATCGTAAATTGATATTTTATATTTCAAGGGTCCCTTGGACAACGTGTTATATGGTTGCCAACAAGCATCATTCTTTTAGGTAGTGTTTGTTGACTATCTCCTATGACAAAGTAGACCAGGAACCACGAAGATCCGAGATATTACATTCATGAGATTTTAATTGGATTTGTTATCATTTCCCTCATCATCCACTTTAAGCTGTGGTGATAAATTTTATAATCTAAACCCTAAGTCTGATAATACTATAATATGAATATTCAATGCTAAATAACTAGCTTCCTTAAATCTCAATACACACAACAAATCTATATATATATACCCATTAAAAAATCAGCCAATGAGAGCTCACAGACATCCACCTAAATCCTTGTACATATGACAGCCACAATTGTAGGTCACATGAGGAGAAGAAAAGCGATCAATTATTTCTTTCATGGATCATGCTTCTCATTAGACAAAGAAAACCAATAAGAAGGCATAAAAGGATTCCTAATAAATGTAGCATAAAGAAGAAAACAAATCTAATTAAAAACATTTACATTTTTGTCTTACATTGATGACCCTGACTTATAAAATAATGAAGCATCCATTTTTAATTGTTTTGTTTTATATTCGTACAATCACATCGAAAATATTACAAATAAAAAAGAAGATTTACATACATACCGCTCAATTCTTATGTATTTATGCATCTAACACCTATACTTCAAATTTTCTATGCATCCTAGCTTATCTATGTAGCTAAAGTTAAAATGATGAGCATTTTTGATGTGATATGAAAGATTTTGGTGTATAAATGCAAAAAGTAAAGTTTTGTGTTAGATGTGTAGATACATATGAATTGGGCGATATGTAGTATATGCCCCGACGAACAATTATTATTACTTATTACTTTCTTTATTCTTGTACATAAAAATAAGTCGGTATAAATCTTGAAAAATTCAACATAATAAGAAACAAAAAGTACGGTTAAGAATGAATGACAGAAGGATGAACAATTGTCAAATCACTAAAAGACTAAAGATGTGATTTAACAAATATAACTGCATTGGGTTGGGACCAGAAGCTGACCAAAGAAAGGTCGACTGAGCCAAAAATCAAGATCTATCGACCTGAGAGAACGCATCAGCCCAACTCTCGCCCCGACATCACTAGATGCCTCACAAGTGTTTCTAAAATCCTCTAGAAGGCTGAAGGCTCTCTCCACAATACACTCCGTGAACACCCCAAAAGGACCTTCTAATGGGGTGAGCTACCTTTCAAATTACAGTGATTCACTCTTCGTCTGACAGTCTAGTCTCATCCTAGCGATATAAAATCCTAACATAGGGGGACGATAGTCAATAGTTGCGCTGAAGAAGTCGACCGACTGACCTAAGACGACTAAAGATCGACCAAAGTCGACCAACAACCCCATCACAACGTGGTCAGCTAAACGAACCTTATCAAATCAAGGGTAGTTGTGGGAAATGCTCATTTATGTAAATACCTAAAATATCATGTAGCATCCACATAAAAATAGGAAAAACATGTAATTGTACAATTTATCCTTCTTGCCTATAAATATATGGGTAATATCTAAAGTAAAGGGCTAATCAGTCAATCATCAAAAAAATTTATTTGTTACACACACACACACACACACACACACACACACTCTTTTGGTTCTATACTTTATTTCTTGGGAGTGATTGGCAGGATAAATTCATATTCAACAACAACATATTCAACACATTCAAACTTCTTCATTTTTGTTCACCAACAAACTTATTTGTCGTTAACAAGTGACTTGTTAAATGCTTAATATTAAGCTCAAAACTATATATATAATTTATTAAAATTATTTAATTATATATTTTATAGTAATGACAATTTAGAATGAGATATTTACGATTAAATAGAGTCATAAAAGATTTTTCTTGTACAATTTTCTTAACCTTAAAAGTAATGAGTTCATTTTTTTATGATAATCACATAGTAATTACCAATAATATTATTGCTATTATTTTCTTATTAATATGATTAATTCAATGATCATCCTTCTACTTAAGAATTTGAAATAGTGTAACCCCATCAATAAGAATTATACAACTAATTAGTAAAGTTCAAAGATTTTAGAGTTCATAATCAACAAATTTGTAGCTGAGCTTAGAATTTCAAAGTTGTTTTTTAAATTTTTTATATGAAAAAATCGATTCTTATTTGAATTTTTAGCTCGTTCAAATACTAGCTCACTTATCATAAGCAAATCAAGTGCAAATCAGATTCAAACATTGAAAAAATTAAACAAATCAAGCTTGACCAATGTATTAAAATTTGACACAAACTCAAGTCGAACATGAACAACTTATAGTCATACCAATTCAAGTCCAAATAATGATCTACTCGGCTCGGCGCAACTCAATTACAGCCTTACGTAAAAACTGAGCACTTAGATTTTAAAAAAAATAGACAAGAGTGCTATTTTCATTGGAGTTTCTTATTATGTTTATAACTTGAATTCCAATACATGCCAATCGGTAATATAAAAAAAAATTATTATAAGCATGTATAGTTATGTGCATAATTATTACATTTTAACTAATATTAAAAATAAATATTATGAATAGTTCGCTTCTGTCGGAAGTCAAATGTTACTCGGGACCACCAAACTCCGAGGAATCCTTATTGGGCTTTAATTCCAGCTATATTGAGCCGTTGAAATGCGGATGAACGGTCAATATGGATCCGCGTGGACTTCGCCGGTGCGTTTTACAGAGGTGCCTTGAATGCAAAGGTTTCCAGTGGTGTCAGAGCATCACGTGATGCAGATCGCGCCACGTGCTATTCCAGCAAGGCCACCCTAAACAAAATACTGCATGAAAGCTCATTCTGACCCATTTGCTTATAAATATATATATGTATTATAAAAAAGAGCACTACCTCATGTGATTAGTCAATATTGTACCGATTAAAAAGAAAAATGAAAAGATCCTTATTTATGTCGACTTCAGAGATTTAAACAAGATATATCCAAAAGACGAATTTCCACTACCTATACCAGAAATAATGGTGGATATCGCTTCAACACATAAAATTTTAAAATTTTCTCGACAGATCGTCGGGGTATAACCAAATTAAGATGACTTCCGAGGATGCAACGCTTACAACTTTTAAAACATCGAAAATATATTATGAACTAATCTCGAGTGTTTGAGATCTAGTGAAGGTGAAAAGAGGAGCGAGGGAGTATAACCTGTTAAAGGTAGTCTGTTGAGAGAATTTGTGAAAGTTTCATTTATTCGTGTTTTTCTCCCTTATTCGTAGAAGTGTATTTTTACAAATACATAAACGAGGGAATGGTTATTGAAGTT